TCCTTGAGTACCACGTACAGCTGGGGGCCGAATTTAAAATCTTTAGCTAGTACGTGCACAGGGAATATCCCTACAAAGTTTCGGCTTCTTAGCTCGTGTGGTTCCCGAGATCGCCTTCCCGCCAAAAAATGTGCATGTTTTTTAAAACGTCCGTACGCGGCACCCAGGTGTCCAAGGGGGATGAAATTAAAACGGGAGGGTCGCGCTTGGTATGGGCACATATCCCTAAAGTTTCAGCTTTCTAGCTCTTCTGGGTTTCGAGTTGAAAGTGGGTGACAAAAAGTGCGAACACACAGACACAGACAGACACACACACACACACACCCACGCACACACACACACACAGCCTCTTCCCAATATGCGTTTTTGCAATTTACATATATGCCTCCCTCCCCTCATAACCCGTGTCCTTGTCCTCGGTTTCTTGTTTGGGTTCACGGTGTTCAACAAGAAACGAGATGCTTAGCCAAACTTGACAAGTCCGTGCGTGACACTTGAAATCTAGCCCTTGTGTACAAACGTGAGTTTCGCAGCTCGCGCTCAAACCCACAGGCGAGTGCCTTCTGTGCGGCCGAGCCGAGTTTTAGTAATTGCCCCCAATATGCTGTGCATCCCGGGATTTCCTGGATTGGTCTTCGGCTTTGCTGATTCTCATTGCAAGGCGCAAGCGGTACGTGGCTGCCTTCGTAAACATGGGGTGGCTGTGCCACTCTGCTGCACCTCTCTTTTCAGGGCGCTTTATCCGGTGGTCCCGCACTGCAGGCCACTTTTAGCTCGTACGTGCGTGGATTGGCTCAGTGTTTCGCGGATGTCCTGGTCTTGTATTGCTGATACTTTGCTATTTTCGGTTCGCTGAACTGTTGCCCTATTGTAGCAGCAGTGAGCGGGGAGCGGTGATGGTGCGGGTGCTCGGTGCTCGAATCTCGGTACGGCGGTGCGTCGGGGCCAGGAACCCGTTCTTCACGACATCTCGAGCACTGGCAATAGGCGAAACGCACGAGCTGCAGCGAACACCGAAGACAGCTATTCTGCTGCTGCACCACGGGCAGCCCCGGACACCGTACTACGCGACGCAGCATCTCTCCCGGAGCAGCGCGCACTTCTATCGGCTGCCGCGATGGCTCACCTCGTATGTTTCCAGTCTTCTTGTTATTTTGTCGGCCGTGTTAGTGTTGCGAGGAATTCGCGATGCGCATTTCGGATGTTGTTGTTTTGCAACCTGAAGCACTGCAGTGTGCTGCTCATTCCCAACCAACTTTTCCGGTTGCTTTGATCAGTGCTCTCCAGCCTGCCGGCGTTCCTAATATCTGTTTCGTCTTCGAAGGGATTTCCTTTTTGATGGTTCTTCAATAGCAACGCTGTTTCGAGATATCCTGGATTTGTGCTTGGCATTACTGCCTCGTTCCGAACATTGCCACTCCGGTACCACGTTCAGGCGCATTACCGTATAGGGTCGTTCAGTTGCATTCGAACAAAGCCATTTTGTCCATTTCGCATCTTATTGTACCAAGAATACCAAGACCGCTCGGACTGTCAGTGTATGGGTATCCCTGTTAATCATGTTACTAGGATGCTCCCAAATGCCGGGCGCGGCTCTGCCAGGCCCTTTGATTCTGAGCTGCATACCTCCAGTTAGTAGCCGCCACTTGTTTGATCGATGTGCAAAGCCTGTTCGGGGGGTCGCCCGGGGTGACAGCATGTTATATTTGTCAGAAATGTATTTTCTCAACAAATTCTGCATTTCGAAAGTTTTATTTCTCAAAAATATTGAAATAAAAAAGGTCGCACGAAAAAAAAACACAGATTCGTACTTGCGCTCTAAATGGTGCAGGCACTCGAAACTAGCGTGAGGCAT